AAGCTTTGCTTCAATTTCAAGTTAACAGTTATTGGGAATTGAGCAGGGCTGGATTTGTGCTGAAGACATTTTTCGCGCGCTTGCATTTTAGTCATGGAAAGGATTTGCCCAATGGCAACCTTTATTAAACCGCTCTGGGGATAAGTAAATGGGTTTTTCTTATTGGAAAGGTTTCATAAAAACATGGTAAAACCTGATGGATAACCATGATGGAAAGTCGTAAAAATTTTATTGCATCAAACAAATTCATTTCTGCTTGAAGCGTTATTTACTCCAATTTTTTTTCAGTCCGTGTTTCTGCAAAAAATTACGCACTTTTGATAAATTTCGTTCTGAGTGACAACGAAACAAAGCAAAATTTTCTGAAAGTTTGGCATGTTCCCATTTTTTTTGAATTTTTTGTCTATTTTTTAGGGTGATGTCGAAAACCAAAATTTTTGGTCTAGCGTTTCAATTTTTTTCCCATGAATCAATTTTGGAAATGCAGAACGCATCTTGCAGCTAAATCTTAATAATGGACACAAACATCCTCCGGGGTGCGTGAGTTAAAGGATTATTTGAACGCAAATCTACTTTCCACTTTTCCCTCAAATCCATAAAATAAATTTCCTGTTCAACTGGCAACGTGCCAATCTTTTGAAGAAATTTTGCATTGTTTTACTTGCCGCCCTGAAGAAACTTTATCTGAAGTACGAAATTAAAGTAAAAACGACTCAAAGAAAACCACTTGGTCTAAATCAGGCTGCAAACAGGACAAAAATCGCTAGCAGCAATCACATTTTATCCAGTTTGAAAATTTGGTTGCGTAACATTTCTTTTCATTAGCACCTTTATTTGAACCGTTGATTTTTCAGTATTTTTAAAAGCAATTGTTGTTTGATTTATGCAGAGTGATTTAAATGAATAGATATTTTTTTGTATGGGAATCGAGAATTTTCAACAGGGTTAATGGAGTAGCCAGATGTTTCACCCAAACATTATCAATAAAAACGACTTTAAAACATTGATCATTGCACTCACTTTTGAAACTGAAAAAGGAACAAACGATGGCCGTAAAAAGATTTTGCCTATTTGTGGGGTAAAACGAAGTCAGGCATGAGTTTAAGAGCAAATTTCCCGTAAAGATCCCATCAAATTTGCTTGATTAGAAGAACGGCGAAGTCAAAAAGGAATGATGAAAAGTCACGTGAGAATCCCTAACACTGATATTTCTCTAAGGGCACCCTCAGTGGCAAAATCGAAACTCCTTGTTATTATAACGAGGTGTTCACTAAGTGTCGTGACGGTTTCGAGCAGTGGTCTTGCTGCCTAAATTTTCTCAACAAAAACTCGTTAATTTACTTTATCAACCGAAAATTAATTGTAGCGCTGTGGTTGAAAATTTATAAAAAAATCAGCAGACTTATGGATTTGATTGAAATTTGGTCTATTTGTAGTTTGATCCTTGCTAGACACACAGGAAAATTTTCAAGTTGCTGCTGATAATGATCGTCCAATCCAAATTTTTTTTATGAATCTGCAGCAGATTTCAACAAGGTTTTTTCAGTTTAGGTTAGTAAATTTCTCAAAGTCAAGTCACTCAGTTCCCCGAATAAATTCATGTTTTGTCAATGTGTAGCTTGATCATTGGCAAACAACAAAGGAAATATTCAAGCTGTTAGCACAATAGCAAAATAGCACAAAATTTTCAATTAAGGTTTCAACACCCTCGAAAAAAATTGGGTAAATTCTGCATATAATTTTCGAGTTAGGATTTTTCGCTGAAAACGAACAGATTCCACCTAACAATTTTTTAGCCTTTTCAGGCGTTTCTGAAAGTTCAGCCGTTTCTGAAAAAGTACCGAGTAGCGGGATTTTATTCAACATTTGAAAATTGATAGCTTTGTGCTTAGTGAACACTACCAGATATATTTAACGTGATGTTTAGAACAATTTTCGAGTTTTACTCTAAACAAGGAACAAATCTTGTCCACATTTTTACAGCTGAAGTTCAGGCCGGCCTAAAAAATTTGTAAGTGCCACCATGGATTTAAGTTTTTAGAATTTGTAGCTTCGTCCTTGGCAAACACTCTAGACGAAATTCAACTTCAAGCTAACTATTCTGAGGTGGAGAGTTTTTATCCCAAAAACGAAACACACATTTTGCCCTTAGATTATTCGAGCTAAAGTTTGAAGATTTCCGAAAAAGTGTCCCAATTGGATTGAAATTCTGAATTTTATTGTAGTGGTTTTTGAACAAACAGTCTCAGAAATACTGAAGTTGATACTCAAGACAATTTTTTAGTTAGGAGGTTTTTCCCGCAAACTGAACATTTTCGCCTACAAATTCTTGAAGCTGAAGTTCGGGGCGATTCCTAAAAATTACTAAGTTTTCTTTATTATCCGATTTTATCAAAAAAGTGGTGGCGTTTCGAAAATCGCCCATCCTCACACCAAAGTCTTCTATTTAAAAGTGAAAAAAAAAATTTTGCGTCTGGTTTTTCAGATTTTCACCTAAAATTTGTTTTCGAAAACTAAGCTTCTTTGCCAAAAATGTTGCTTCTGAGATAACATCGGAAAAGTCAATAGTAAAGACGCTATTGGCAATTTTCGCATTTTAGCCAACATTTTCGAGGAAAATTCCAGGGCTACATATTACTGCGTAGCTCTTGCCAGGCTGAGAGCTACCAATTTTAGTAGCAGAGAGTGAAAGAGTTTCGAAAATCCACTTTCTTCAGGTCCAAGTTTGTAAATTTTCTAATGTTATCTTTTTCATTTTTTATTTAGAAAACTGAGCCTTATAGCAGAAAATGTTCGAAAAATCGCGAAAACATGGTTTTATTTCAA